GGAGATCTTCTGATAATCTTTTTCGAGTTTCTGGTAATCACGACTCATCACCAGAAGACACGGGATGAAGAACGAATCCTTCTGGACTCTCTTGTCACTTTTTATCAAAACACGGAATTCTTTCTCTTGACATCCATTTCCTCTTACTTTATTGTACTGAACAAAATCATTTAGAAGAAGTGGTCCGAAGCTCTAGGTGGAGTTGTTTGTAACGATGAGGCTTCTACCGATTCTTCTACTGATTTGAATTCAATGAAATCTGTTACTAAAACACGATACGACATTTGACGTTGATACGATTGACTAGCGATTGATTTAGTAAGATAATACATGAGAGCTCCCCCGTAAGCCCCCAACTGTTTTCATAACGAAATCATGTGAGCTTTAAATTCCTTGACCAAAATGAATAGGCTCGGTTGTATTAGGTTGGTGCAAAAGAAATTTCGGTCGATATAAAATGTTCTTATTTTTTTAATCTGAAGAGCTTATTTGATGTTCTTTTGTGCATTTGTACTCTTGGATATTTACTTTATTTTCGCATTTTTTCAAAGTCAGAGCTTTCACTTTTTAATTGATTTTTGCTTTAGATCATGGTGGATCAAAAGTATGTTCTGCGCACGTGTCTTCTCTATGACTTCAAAATGGGCAAAAACGCTGCTGATTCACATCGTGATCTCTGTTCCGCCTTTGGAGAACAGGTTATCACCGAAAGATCATGCCAGCTCTGGTTTGCCCAATTCCGAGATGGTAATGAATCCCTTGAAGACGAATCGCATGGACATCGTGCCACAGCCATCGACAACAATGAATTGAAGCTGATCCAATGCAAACAACACGAGAACTTGCCAAACATCTCCAATTCAACAATTGTACGCCATTTGGAAATAATTGGAAAGACAAATCGTAATGGACAATGGGTTCCACATCAATTGAGTGTTGAGAATCTGGGAGCACGCGTTCCGATCAGCCATATCTTGCTCCAGAAGTCGAAAAGAAGCCATTTTTTTGAGAATATCTTGACGATGGATGAGAAGTGGATTCACTTTGATAATACTTCTCGAAAAAGACAATGGCTGAGCAAAGGTCAAGCGCCAATTCCAACTCCAAAGCCGGATTATCATGGGCGCAAAGTGATGTTGTCTTGCTGGTGGAATATCAATGGACTTGTTCATTTTGAATTATTAGAGCCCGGAAAAACAGTCGATTCATCTTATTTTATTCAACAACTCAAGAAGGTTGACGAAATTTTGCGTGAAAAAGGCCTAAATCCCTCAACTATCAACTTTCTCCGTGATAATGCTCCAGCTCACACGGCAAAAACCTCTTGTAAGGAACTAGAGAAGCTAGGATGGAAGGTCTTACCACATGCGCCGTATAGTCCAGACTTAGCACCCGCCGATTTTCACCTTTTCAGATCGATGCAACATTCCCTTGAGAATTGCCAGTTTAAGAATGCAAAAGGTCACCCAAAATTGGGTGACCAACTACTTTGCATCACAGAATCAAGCGTTCTTTGAGAAGGGGATCCGCAATCTGTAGCAACGTTGGAGGGATGTCATAGATAATAATGGTGCTTATTGTTTTAAATAAATTGTTATCAAAAAAAATTTTGGATGACTTTAATGTTTGTAAAAAAACGAAATTTCATTTGCACCAACCTAGTAGGTATGGTAAAAGCTCATTCTCTAGCACTTTTTGATAATCTTGAGAATTCATTTTTGAATGGATGAATTTGATCTCAAGCTTTCCATAAGAAGAAAATGCACCCCAAATCATGATGGAACCTCCACCAAAGTTTCTTTTTGTAAAATACTGAGGCGATGTGTGGAGATCATGCCAATAGTACGAAAGGCCGGCGGGACCGTCCAAATTGAGTTTCTTTTCATCGGACCATACAACCTAAATTTGCTTGTAAAAGAATATAAATTTTAGAAATTACCTCTTTCCATTCATTCGTCCAAGTCTGATGATCATCCGCAAATTTTGTCCTCGCAGCAATGTGATTCGGCTTTAAAGTAGGGGCTGGCATAATTTTGACTCGCTTTAAATGAGAGGAGTTTTTGATGACACGATAAACAGTCATATGCGAGACATTTAAGCCCAACTCGTTTCGAATTCTTCGAGATCCTTTAATAGAATTTGTGGCTGCTTTGATGATGGCTCGTTTCCCGCGTTTCGTTAGTTTTCCTTTACGTCCGGTAGATGCCTTTCTTCCATATGAAGTCGGATTCGTCAGGAAATTGTTGATCACTTTATGAGAACGGCCCAATTTTGTTGCGATTTTGCGGTTGCTCAGTCCAGAAGCGTGGAATGCTTCAACTTTGGCTCTTTCGACAACAGACAAACGTCCTTTTCTACCCATAAATCTAAAAAAGACCTGGAGTTACGGATAGTACAAAAAGAAAACTGAATAACATCAATTGATAAAGGAAAACGTTGTTAAATCAAGGTGGATCTATCATTTTGTTACGCGGGAAAAATGGCGAAAAGCATAGAAACATTTCTATAAGGGCAATGTCTTCGCGACGAAATAACAGTTTGATGCAAATTGATTTAAAAGTAAATTTTGAACTTGTTTTTGGTTAAAACTTGAATTTTTATTCAAAATGTCTAGTTTCTGGGGCCAAAAACATGGTGGATCTATCATTTTGTTACGCACTGTATCTAGCATTTCTCAAATGGGAAATGGAGATCGGGGCCACGGAAAAAAGGTGATGCTTTGTATTTGGTGGAACAGTAAAGGTCTCGTGTATTTTGAGGTGCTGGATTCGGGTCAAAGAGTCACGGCGGATCTTTACAAAGCCCAATTGAGCCGCGTGAACCAGGCGTTGAGTCGTTAAGGCAATAACACGGCGACTACAAGATTCCTCCACGATAACGCTCGACCCCACGCCGCGAAGATCACTCAGCAGAAAATCAAGGAATTGGGCTGGGAAGTTCTGTTTCATCCGCCATATAGCCCGGACTTGGCCCCATCCGACTACCACTTGTTTCGGTCGATGCAGCACTCTTTAGCAGAAAAAAAATTCAAAAACCGCGAAGAAGTTGAAATCTGGGTGTCCAACTTCTGTCGCAGTTGCCCGAGTTCTTCGAAAAGGGCATCCATTCTCTGCGTGGAAGATGGCAAAGAGTCATTGATAATGATGGCGAATATCTTTTGGATTGAGGTTCTGTATTAGGATTTTTATAATAAATTTTGTTTATGGTTCCAACGGAAGTTTCATCTGCACCAACCTAATATGTGCATAACGTCGTCACAGAGAAAATTTAAGATAAATCGAGTGAGCAATTTCAACGATTGAATTGGGAGCGTCTGAAGAAAAAAATCCACGGTCTCGTCAATAAAATCAACGCCAGCAATCTTGTCGAAATTGTGCGAGAGCTTTTTCCAGAAAACATTATCCGTGGAAAGTTTGTTTTTTAGCATTTTCTCAAGTAAACAAAATTTTAGGGGTTTTTGCTGACTCAATCGATAATTCAAGCACAAGCCTTTTCTCCAACATTTTCACATACTTTTGATGCTTAAAACACCAACGGAAGATTCAGTGGAAGTGTGTATAGCTTTTCTGAAAGAATGTGGCGCGAAACTGACAGAGGTTTGCTTTATGTAGAAGCGCTTATTGAGAAATGATTTGTTAGATTGCCCCGCCCGGCGATCAAATGGGTCACATTCGACCGAGAGCCGAATGAGGCTCCGGAAAGGTCCACAACATTTTCTCCCAAGATGAGCCGGTCAGTGAAATTAACCTTGACATGCTCATTTTGACATCAGTTGAATCAAGGACTCGGCGTGAGGATGAAAGCCGGAGTTCGCCAAACACTGAGGGATAACCCCCTAAACTCGGTTTTTGTGAAGGTTGGGAGAGAATCTATCTAGATCGGACTCAAATCGTTTAGCATCATTTCGACGTGGGTGCCGGAAAAAATCAGTTCCGAGCTTCAGGATTCAAGTGGGTTAACGCATCGAGAAATAAACTAGTGGCTTACCGCATTCCAAATCAGTTCTCAGTTCATACAGAAGCGGTCCGTGTTCTTGACCAACGTGCAACATTTAGATATCAAATCGAATCGCACAAACACGGCGAGCACAACGTCGATTCGGGATACTTCAAGAATGGCGGCTTCTAAAGAAAGTGATTGATGAACATTGTTTGAAAGCAGCTCTCAAACCAAGATTGAACTACGGAACGTTTCCAGCGTTCATTCTTTTTTGTTGATTGTTCGATGATCCTAATGCTTTCTTTTTAGGAAATGACGCTTTTCGAATCGCGCCGTTGCATTCTCTGCAAGAAAACGTGTATCTAGATTATCTAGATTTTAAAGCGTAAATAAAGTGGGGTTTTGTTTTATTTGCCAATCTTTTAGTGACTCGAGTTGCTAAACAATTTCGATCTCGAGGTCAGTTGGGTTGTGGATTGGCCATCTCAAACAACATAGAATTCAATTGTAGCATCTCAGGTTTTTCTTGAGGTTTTTTAATCACTTGTAAGATTTTTGTTCTCCTTTTTTGACGTCATTCTTCATTCGAGATCTGCGGGTAATTGGAAAAGCTTTCTTTCGTCACTCACAGACCCATTTGTTGGAATCATCACTTTTTTGAGCCTGATTGATTTTAAATGTTTTTTAAATGATTTGAAATGATCGCAAAAAGTTTCAAATATTCTACGGACCTATTTTTATTTTTTTGTCTATTAGGCGGTTCGTAAATTTTTTATTAAATTTTAAAGTGTAATTTCTCAAAAACCAGAGCATCAATCTTTCTGAACATTAACATTTTTGAAACGTTTATCTAATAGTCTATTCAGGAGCGACGAGAGAGCAAAATACTTGCAGCTTCAGGCGGAATTCTGGGTTTTTGTGAAAACATTTTATATGAGATTTTGAACAAACGATTCAGAAATAAAGAAAAAGATAACATCGCAGTTTTGTGTTTTCAGAAGATTGAATAAAATGGAATTTATTGGTTTTTGCTCACAGAAAGGAACTTAAGACATTTATCAGAACTGAGAGCTCCTTTTGCAAATAAAACGATACTGTTTGGTAGGAGAATAGGCCTCCCATGTCCCAGTGTTGCTCCAAAGCTGAAATGTGTTCATTTCTGATGGAAATCTTTTGATAAAACACTTTGCGTAATTTCACAAAAAGAAATTTCCTCAAATTGTCCGAAATATTTTTAGATTAATTATGCATTGGAAATTGGAATAAATATCGATAAATATTTCACGTTGAAAATCTTACATAAGCGTGGGTGTTCGAATCCGGCTCTCCAACCTTCCAATTCGTGAAATCCACCGAACTTCCATCCGTCCATTCAAAAGCATTTTCTTTGTTCGGATTTCTCTGAATAAAGAAGTTTTTATTTTTCACCCTTGATCTTTTTTCAATTCAAATTAGATTTCTATCAGTTTCTTTCATTTCAGATTTCCATCAAAGAGCTATCAGTCCAAGGAATCTTTTTTTCACAGAGAGCCTTCCGAAAATGGCTGAAAATCCATTACTTTCTATTTTTTCTTTATTTCTGTATTTCTTTCAAAAAGAAAAATTCAACCTTCATTCCGATCCAGAACACAAGACTCGAAGTAACATTTTTCGCTGAAATAAACATCGATTGTTTTTGGCTTATAAAGCATAAATTTCTACCAAAATCATGAATTTTTAAAAATCATGACTTGAATCATTTCGATTTCTTACCGAGTTTCTGAACAAAATCGTTCTCTTCCTGACTGTGAATTGAGACTAAATGGTCCTTTTGACTCGCACAATATTCCTCAGCTTCATCAAATGTCATTGGTCGGGCGATAAACTTGAGATGAAGATAATCCTGGTTCACAACATCCACCAAACCTTGTACGAAGAAGCGGTTTTTGCTAAATACGACCATCCATCCAGTTTCAAGAGATTCATCGTTCGATTTCTGAATTTCTTCGGAAAACATTAGTCCAGATCCTTTAGACAAATACTCAATCTATTTCGCACTCAATCAACGCAAAAAAGTTCGGATTTTAACTATATATTGAGCTTGCCAAAAAGAAAATTACAAAATTAGTACAATTGTGCTTCGAGATCGTCGTTCTTCCTTTTCGTCTCGGTGATTTTCTCCATTAAGTTCGCCTCGATTTGAGCCATTTTTGCTGTCAATCGACTCATCTCGACGTCTTTGTCCTTCGTTTCGTTCCGCTCTCTTGCGCTGAATGCTTAAATTACTCGCTACTCAAAATCCAAAAAAGATGAGCTTGAATTCTTCAAGATTTTTGATTTCACCCACATTTCCGTCTGCAGTTCGAGGATGTTTCCTCGAGTCTCGACAAGCTCTTGTTGGGTTTCATTCCTGAAAAGTCGTGTCATGAAAAGACCCTCAAGCCTATTTATTGTTTATTCTATCAATTTCGCTCTTCTCCCAAAAAACCAACAGATTTCTTTGACAAGATCTCAAGAGAACGGTGTCCGGACAATCCTTTTTACAGCTGAAATCTAAGATCATCGAAAAATCTCTTTCGGACTAACTTCAAAGTACGACGATCACGAATCTCATCTCGATCTATCGGAGATCTGAATGGTTGACTACATAGCTATTTGGAGGGAAAAGAATACGTGAATTGATCCAATTGATCGCTTTGTTGAATCGACGGAGAAATTTGATGGAATAGGAGGAGAATCGTGATGAATAGACGGACGGCCATCACACCCATTTTGCTGAATTGGTTGATTAGTCTTGAATTCGAGGAAATGGGAAGACCGAATGGAGGGACGATCCGATAAACAAGAGCTTTTTTTACGGAAAAGAGCTTTTGAGAGCTCCGAAATTGTTTCGGAGAACGATTGACTCATTAAGCCGTTGAAAGAATCGTTTCGAATAGAACTTCGTGCAAAAAATTAGCATTTCGGGAAAAAGAAAGCCGTCAGTTCGGGTGAAGTTGGTGAGTGAGAAAACGCGGAGTTATCAGGTGACTGCTTTCGGGGAAGGTCAACTGAACCGACCGTTCCCATCAAATCACCACAATTGTTCCTCAATCTCCGCGGCGAAGCTATCTATCTCGCCCCGGCGTAAACAATTTCTCCTAGAGCCTTTTTGACTTCTCCAACTTCAAAATTCAAAGCTCCTCGTTGGTTGTAGAATCTCTGGGATCTTCCTTTCCTTCCTCGATGTCTTCAGAGCATCTCTTCTTTTTCCTAATCTCCAGAAATGCCCGAAATGACTGAAAAATTGCCTGAAAAGGGTGTCAAACGCATAAAAGAACCGTCCATCTCGTTGAAGAAGATCGCCCAACTCGAAGCCGATTTGTGGGTTTTTCACCAAATCTTTGCTTCTATCAAAAAAAGTCTTTAATTTATTCTTTGATTTTCTCGAAGAACAAGTGAAAATTAAAGGAAAAGGCTACTAAATAAACAGAATTGATGAGAAAATCAAACCAGATATTTGTTGCCGGACAAAATACGGATTTCCTACCAAATAAAGAGAAAGGAGGGGAATGCCCGATTCGTTTAGTCATCATTCGTCAAGCAACAACAATCAATATTCATTTCAGCGAAAACTGAAAAAGAAAACGGCTACAAAACAGCAATGATTTGAGGCAAGAAATAAAATGAGAACACCCGGATATTCTCAATCATTTTACCTATATTCTTGAACGCTTTGGTGACATTTTCTTGATTCTTGTCGAAGTTCCATCAACATTTAATGAGCCTTAAACAGATTCGAGTCTAGGCCGCTTTTCATTAAGACATTGCTTCTTTTGGAATCGAGACCAGCCTCAGAAACGGTTCATCGCTTCGGGATAGGTTGGATGCAACTCTTCACAGCCAAATACCCTAATGGATCTGATCATCTGAAATGTGTCTATCAAGTTTGAGGGAGATCTTCTGATAAGCTTTTTCGAGTTTCTGGTAATCACGACTCATCACTAGAAGACACAGAATGAAGAACGAATCCTTCTGGACTCTCTGATCACTTTTTATCAAAACACGGAATTCTTTTTCTTCACATCCATTTCCTCTCACTTTATTGTGCTTAACAAAATCATTTAGGGAAGTGGTCCGAAGCTCTAGGTGAAGTTGTTTGTAAAGATGAGGTTTCTACCGATTCTTCTACTGGTTTAAATTCAATGAAATATGTATCTAAAACACGATACGACATTTGACGTTGATACGATTGACTAGCGATTGATTCGTGTCATCGTGAGTCAAAACAATTCGTGTCATCGTGAGCTCTGCCCTGCTTCAAAAAGGCAAATCGCATGATTTTTGGGGAAGAATTCTAACATCTGATGAAACATGGATTCAATACGAGAATGTGAAGCGCAAAAATCAGTGACTTTCTCTAGGTCAACCCCCACAACCAACTTCCAAACCCGATATTCATGAAATGAAACTTATGCTTTGCTGTTGGTGGAATAGAAAAGGTTTGGTGTTTTATGAGTTGTTGAATCCAGGAGAAACTGTCACCGCAAAACAGTTGATGAGGGTTAACGAAGCTTTAAAGAAATTGGGCGTTGAAACATCAAAAGTGCTATTTCTACATGATAATGCAAAACCTCACACTGCAAAAATCACTCACCACAAAATCGTTGGAAACATCTATCCCACGCACCTTATGGTCCCAATTTGGCCCCATCAGATTATTTTTTGTTTCGGTTGTTGAGGAGTCTTCTGATGTGAGAAAAGCTCGGGAATCATGCACAGATCAAAAAAGGAGTCGACATTTATTTTGGCTCTTAAACTCCCCATTTTTTTGAGGATGGAATCAGGGACTTGCGACGAAGATGGGAACAAGCCATCAGTAATAATGGAGAATATCTCATTGATTGATGTGCGTTTTTTATCTCTTTAGCAATAAACAGTTTTGTGAAAAAATCGACATTACTTTTTCCTCAACCTAATAGTTCAAAAAGAAAAAAAGACTAAAAAAGCTACAAGCAAACATTTTAGGAACTCGAAAAAAATGTTTTGCGGAAGTTTTGCAAAAGAAAAGCCAAAAGTAGGGCCGCAAGAGGAATCAAACCCAGGAAAAAAATCGCATTATTTTGATAGCCTAACGCAGTCCCCTAGACCGCCGCTACTTTTCTTCCCTTTTAGGTGAGGTGAGAGTTTGCCGAAAATGACCGAAACTTTGCATGCGCTTTTCTCGAAAGCCAGGGCCCATGGGCAAAAAAGGCTCTTTACTTGGGCTATTTATGAATGAAAGCGCTGAAATGGAAATGAGAAAGGCTCTCGGGTAGTATACGAACAGTATTTCTGTTGCAATAACATTTGACCCGAGTTTCATTGCGATGAAAAAGAAAAGGTCGTCACAACAAAAAACTCTTAATGTCATAATGTTATAGCTTGATGATTGAGATTTTGCAATCTTGCGGAAGTCAGAAGATTTGTTGAGAATCTCGACCTAGATTTATATGTACCATGTAATAGTATGGCCTAGCAAATGAAATGCTCATTTTATGACCAAGGACTTTTGAAAATTTGACTGGCTTTCTTTCTGAATCTGATGTGAAATTACTGATGTAATCGGATGAGTGTTAGCAGTGGATTCGACAAAGAACACAGTCTAAACAACGTGCAATCTTTGCTGGACGATCTTTGTGGCGAAAAAGTTAGTAAAGACGAGGCGTGGATTGCCATCTCACAGTCCCGTCATCGTCATCGTCATCACCCATCATCGTCTCTTTTGAATTGACAGATGGACAATGGGTGGGTTTCACCCAATTCCACCCAGCCCAACCACAAGGGGTCCTTTTTCAGTCTTTTTTTCTTTTTGAACTATTAGGTTGAGGAAAAAGTAGTGTCGGTTTTTTCACAAAACTGTTTATTGCTAAAGACATAAAAAAACGCACTTCAATCAATGAGATCAATCATGATCAATCAATGAGGATTCAACAACTCATAATACACCAAACCTTTTGTATTCCACCAACAGCAAAGCATAAGTTTCATTTCATGAATATCGGGTTTGGAAGTTGGTTGTGGGGGTTGATCTAGAGAAAGCCGCTGATTTTTGCGCTTCACATTCTCGTATTGAATCCATGTTTCATCAGATGTTAGAATTCTTCCCCAAAAATCATGCGATTTGCCTTTTTGAAGCAGGGCAGAGCTCACGATGACACGAATTGTTTTGACTCACGATGACACGAATCAATCGTATCAACGTCAAATGTCGTATCGTGTTTTAGATACATATTTCATTGAATTTAAACCAGTAGAAGAATCGGTAGAAACCTCATCTTTACAAACAACTTCACCTAGAGCTTCGGACCACTTCCCCTAAATGATTTTGTTAAGCACAATAAAGTGAGAGGAAATGGATGTGACGAAAAAGAATTCCGTGTTTTGATAAAAAGTGATCAGAGAGTCCAGAAGGATTCGTTCTTCATTCCGTGTCTTCTAGTGATGAATCGTGATTACCAGAAACTCGAAAAGTCTTATCAGAAGGTCTCCCTCAAACTTCAAAGACACATTTCAGATTTCAGATCCATTAGGATATTTGCCTGTGGAGAGTTGCATCCAACCTATACCGAAGCGATGAACCGTTTCTGAGGCTGGTCTCGATTCCAAAAGAAGCAATGGTTGGATGCAATCATTTCTTCGTCGACAGCGTTTTCCTCTTCGGAGGACATTCCTACAACTACATGTCAAAAGTCAAAAGATTTCGAGAAAGAAAAAAGACGACGAGGATCCACTCATCAAACCACAAGCAATTTTACTTTTGGCTCAATCTGCGTTCAAAGGACCGATGGAGAGACCGATAGTTAAAAGAAGACCGTCGGGTATCACTTTTTCAATCCAACCGATCCGGAATATAAATTGGCCAAGAAGGTAGCTTTTCGAGATCAATTCAATTGATTTTCCATAACTTAGATGCTTGCAATGATACATCGGCGATTAACAGCTCCACGTTTCCTTAACTGTAAACTTAAAGGGTTTAGAGTCCACCTATTGAAAATTCTATCAATGCTATCGTTGACAAACTCGGTCCAGGCGATGAAGCCTCAGAAATAGCAAGTGAGGTGTCAGGCTCGTTGGAAGATGAAGGTGAAGGATGAAGGAAGACACGACCGGAAACCTATAAGCATTCCAATGCCTATCAAGGCAAATGTCCAACTTGTACACATACCTATGCCACTTACTACGTCAACAAACAGAAAAATCAATTTCGAGGTAGATGCATTCTCTTTACACTCACTAATTTTTCTATAGATTATCTTAATGAGCTACCCGAAATGACTCGACAAATGGAAACAGTCGAGGCGGCTTTAATGAGTGCCGAAGCTGCAACGAATGTCTCAATGAAAAGGGGCCTAGACTCGAATTTGTTTAAGGCTCATCAAATGTTGATGGAACTTCGTCAAGAATCAAGAAAATGTCACTAAAGCGTTCAAGAATTTGCTAGAAAAATGAAAAAATAATGAGTCAAGCATAGTGACGACAGTGTCTAAAGGCCTTTATAATAGAGATCAACGAGAATCGACTTTAGGTTCTATCAAAGCACTATCTGTCAAACGAATTACTTTTCACAAAGAGTCTGCTATTTCGAAAATGACGGAAAAAGGCTGTGGGGAATAGACACCAAAACAAGTTCTGGTAGTCAAATTATTGGTAAATTATTGCGGAAAGCCGAGTGTTCGCATTCTATTTCTTGCCCCAAATCATTGTTATTTTGTAGCAGTTTTCGTTTTCAGTTTTTGCTGAAATGAATATC